GTAGTGTGTATGTGTGTGTGTGTGTGTGTGTGTATGTGTGTGTGTGTATGTGTGTGTGTGTGTGTGTGTGTGTGTGTGTGTGTGCAGATTGTGATCCTCTCCAAGTAACTTTACGACGCGTTTACGTGTTGCGTACAGGTATCATGTATAGGTATCAAGAAAATAATGAAAATAAAAAAGTAGAAATAAGTAGACAGGTAAATATAGATGTGGAATAGAGTAGTAGAGAAAGGGATGGATGAAATGATACCTTTGGATCCTTCTAAATCATCTAATATCAGGTAATCATTTGAAGAATTGCAGAAATGAGTACGTGAAATAAATTCAGCAGCGTAAATAACAATAATTCATTTATTTTACAGTGACAATATTTGAATAGAAAAATGCCTCCTAAATGATTCAATATTTGGAATGGTGAATCATCGATGATTCATCCTAAACATACTTCGTTTTCATTCCATTCCATTTGTTCTTCCTTTCTTCATTCATTCACGTTTATTTGTTCAATTAAATTTTCCATCTAATGAAATAACTTTTCGTAAGATCTCTTCACGATTTTGGGACATTTTGGTGACATTTGTAGCTTTATGCTAATTTTAACTGTCCTAAATATTATTAGTTGTAATAAAAAAATTACTATGTAAAAAAAAAATTACTAATTTTTTTTTTCTCTATAGAAAATTTGGCTCATTTCTTCTCCCTCTTTTTCTCATTTGATAATTCAAAGGTCTTTTAATTGATGGAATTTCATTTTATTTAACTGATAAAATTGTTCAAAGTTTGAACAAAGGACAGGAAGATGGATGAAAAGAAAAATGATTTTTAATGTTTACTGATCAACGATGTTTATTGATTAATAGATATCAGTACATTGCTTTTCCACTGTGATTGCATCTCTGATAATTGTGATAAATAAGCAAGAGCTTGTAGAGCGCTATATTCATCCATGTATGGATGGAATAATATCAGGAAAGAATCGAGAGAAGGCTTAGGGATTTTGTTTTATTTCCGGTTATTAGGAATGAGCAAGAAAGAACTTAATTTCCAGCTTATTTTCCTAACAAAATAACCAAATATGTTATTTTCGGATTTTAAAATTTGTGGAAAAAATTGCACATTTCCGGTTGGAATGTCATAGCTTTATATTCAACTTTGAGGTAGAAATGAATTATGCCATAACTTCTTAAAAACTGAAATGAATACTGGAATGATCATAAATTGGAAAGATGTTGTTTTATTGGCCTGAAGGCTATACATTTCCCATTCTATTGCAATGAACAGTTTATGTAAGCCTATTATTTTCATTTCTAAGGCTAATGTTATTTCTCGGCTCATTTTCAAATTGTTTTGTTCCTTATTGATGAACTGAAAGCATTGGCCAAATTTGCTTGATGCTTTTGCGCCACTTACTATACCAATGACAATTGTCGTTAAGTGGCTGTTGTTAAATGTTCTTCCCTATTCTTGGTTTAGAGAAGTTTGTGATATCTCTGACTGAAAATTGAAAAAAAAAATAAAAAAGAAAAAATTTTTCAAGTGAGTGTAATGACAAGACAGCCATCACTTCCTCTATCTTATCAGCATAGCTAGGCAAAACTGATTTTGAAAAAAGAAAAGAATTTTGAAAATTTCATAATTATCCAAAACTTTTCCAATAGTACGATGACCACTACCTATAAAATGACCAGTGTTATTTGGAAAAAGTTGGTTCCATTGATCCTTTTATCCATGAACATTTTTTTTTTCACTAATAATTGTTGTTTGTCACCCTGTAAAGGAATTACTTCCTTTCGTTAAATGATAGCAATTTTATGGCCTTTTTTCATTGCAATCATTGCGCCGCAATATGTGGAATTGTTTGAAATATTTCAAAAATTTTTTAAACTTTGTATTCTAAAAAATAATTGATTACATGTCATTAATTTTTGTCAAATTTTGTCAAATGCAATCTATTTCAGTTCAATTTCAATTTTATTGAATTTATCAAATGCCATTTCTGTTTACACTGCCAAAATTACTGCATGCAATTAACAAAACGAAGGTAACATCATTTTCTACCTGATAGAGCCTATAAGCCAATCGATTTAGATAACTTTAAAAAAAAAAAAAAAAAAACTAATTTTCTTAGTTTGAACGAATTCTTTGCTTTTAGAATTGATTTTAGTTATATCTTTAGAACAACAACTGATGAAGAGCAAAAAATGCTAGCAGTGATTTCATACTTTCGTTTTTCGATGTGGAATTAATTCAATCTGATTTATGAATTTTAGTTAGTGGAAGAGAAAAATAGATTGTATGATTGTTGATGAATGGAAAGATTGATGGATGATTTTGTATCATTGGAATTAATTATTCGAATTTGGAAGGAAGGAAAGAATCAATGAATGTGAATACTTCGATATGGATGGTCCTTTATATCTTCACAAAGGACAAAACAAAAAAGGAATGACTTTTAAGGAATCTCTCTTACTGATTATTTAATGTCACTGATTTTTAAGCGCTTTCATAATTGTAGTTCTAAGCAATTCCTAATTTTATCCCATCTAAGCAAGTATCCATTAGTAGTGAAATTCTAGAAGTTTCTTTAAATATTTTAAAAATTTTACGAAAAATGACAATATATTAAAAGATGTATGAATAATACATCGAAATAGCAAAATAACTGATGGAAACAGTTGTTATTTGAATATCAGTTTTTTTTTTTTTTTTCCCTGAATATCACTTTACACCATGATTTCTCGAAGTCTTTATGGTCATACTGCAAACTAATAACCTGATGGATATATGAAAGTTATAATGATGCTATTCATATATTTATAATGGAATATATTATAATTGCTTAACTATCTTTGAAAGCATCTTTTGATGGTATCTCTCAATAATTTGCTTGTCGAGATTTGATTGAGAATGAAAGATCGGGTTTTCAATTGTTATCTTTGGGATTTTTAACAGTTCTGATAATGTCGCAACCAGGCAGTGTAAAAAATACCTTGTAAGTGTATGTTCGTCAAAAATAAGAAAATTGGAAATCATTAACCAAAATGAGTTGTTTTAAATATTAAGATTTCAAATTTTTCGGAATAGAATTGTAGAGAATAGTTAGATAATCGTAATAAGATGATCCGATTTGACAAATATTTGAAATAAAAAATTAAAAAGGCCAGAAAAGTTTTTTGCAACCAGAAAATCAGATAATCAAAAATCAGATTTTTCTTTTCCTCTCTCTCTCTCTCTCTCTTTCTATTTG